ACCAAAAAAAAAAAAAAAAAAAAAAAATGCAAACGAAGGGAACAGAAAGCGGAAAGTCCGCGCTCCGTACGCTCAGCCTCTTCTTCGGAAGGAGTAGGGGCGCGGAGGCCGCCAGAAATGAATTCCTGAGGAAGGACAGCGGATACTCAAGGGGTTCCCTAGGGAGGACACGGGGCTGCGGCCCCGGATAAGGCGAGGGCTCCCCATCACCCCAGGGACAGGCTACAACGTGCAACAGAAGAGGCTGGGAGCCGGGAAGGGACAGGTCCGGGCGCCTCCGCAGGTCGCGCAGTAAGGAAAGGGACCGCGGCCGCGGTTGCCAAGAGGAACGAGCCGGCGCCTGAGGCGGCTCTGGGAGCATCGCCCCGCGGAGGCGGACGGGGTTTTGAGGGGGATCGTCTCCCTCAGGGAGAAACGGACTCCCAGGGCAGTGCTCTCCCAGACAGAGATCCCGGGACGCGAAGTTAACGCTTGAGGAGCGGGCATTTCCCACCCCGGCCAGGCTTCCCCGCACACTCACCGCGGCCGCTCCAGACGCCGGCTGCTCTAACTGCGGTTAACCGCCCGCGCAGGGGCGCTCGGCGAGCACGCTCACGTGACCCGGCCCGGGCTTCCCGGCCCCGCCCCCTCCGCCCCACCTGACTCGCTCGGCCCCTCCCAACCCACCTCCCTAGTCAGGTGGTCTGGGCTCGGCAAGATGGCGGCGCCCACATGCAGGGTGCCGCGCCTCTGGTTTTGGGGTTCAGGGCAGGGTCTGGGGAGTCACCTCCGTCTCGTCTCATGGCCATTTTGTACCGCCGCTGCTGCCTCGAAGCCCCTGGTTGCCCAGGAGTTAGCGGAGAGGCTCCGAGCCCAGAAACAGGAACAAAAGGCGAAGAAGGTGCCGGTGAGTCCGGAGGGAAAGACTACAGCTCCCAAGAGGCAGTGCGCTGAGTGGTTTTCCCAGGCGGAGGGAGTGGGGTGGGTCCCCTGTGAGAAAGCGAGGAAACGTCCGGCCCGTTGGTGGGAGAAGGGGGAGAAAGAGGGGAACTCGGAGGGAGAAGTCTGCGGGGTGCGGTGTCTTCCTGTGGGCTGGGTCTTTGGCTCCTGGCCTCTGGACGCCAAGCACCCCCTGCTCTCCAATTACTCCGGGGAGGCGCGCGTGTAATGCAAAGACACAGTGATTCCCTGCCCAGATGCTCACCCAGACTTTTCTTTTTTTAGTTAAGTTCATTGGGGTGACATTGGTTAATAGGATCATATAGGTTTCAAGTGCAGACTTGTGTTACAGGACCAGTGTTTTGCATTGTGTGCCCACTCCACCCCCTCCCCCCAACTCCGCCTTCCCTCTGGCAGCCATCACACTGCTGTTTGTGTCCACCCGTTTCAGTTTTCTATCCCAGATGTGAGTGAAATCATATGGTTCTTAGCTTTTTCCGCCTGACTTGTTTCACTTAGCATGATATTCTCAAGGTCCGTCCCTGTCGTTGCCAATGGCAGCACTTTGGCTTTCCTTATGGCTGACTAGTAGTTCCTTGAGTATATGCGCCACATCTTTATCCAGTCCTCTAACAGGACCCTTTGGTTGTCTCCATGTCTTGGGCACCGGTGAATAAGGCTGCAGTGAACATAGGGGTGCATATATCTTTGCAGATACATGTTTTTGAGTTTTTTGTCACCCAGACTTATTGAAGGTCTTCCCCACCAGTCATTTCCCATTGTTTTTTCTCTCCTGGTAGGTGCTCACGGACCCTGTCCAGCGAAGGGTGCAAGAGCTAGTGCGGTTCACACAGCAGCTGCAGAGAGTCCACCCCAATGTGCTCGCTAAGGCACTAAGCCGAGGGATTGTCCACCAGGACAAGGACCTCGTGGTCATCAATAAGCCCTATGGTCTCCCTGTGCATGGTAAGGACCATGTAGCTGCTGCTTTCTGCTACAACTAGGGGTTACACTCAGGTATCACTTCACTTCTGGGACTCTCAGAAGCCTTGCATTCAAAATAATTTACATTTTTGTGGAATACTGTCCTATATAAGGCACTATTGAGGAAACAGATAAATGAGACACTTGCCACCTTCCAAACATCTGACATTCAGCAGTGATTTATGGAATGTGATGTGTGCAGACCTCCACAGGGATTGCTATAGAAGAATGTAAAGGCTGTGTGATTCTTGCCTTTAGGTTATTTTCCATCAAAACTGGATAAGAGAAAATAACTTACAAGAAAAAAATGTCTGTGTGTGTGTGTTGGAGCAAAAACCCCAGGGTACCTAGAATTTAATGGACAATCAGATGTTTTTTAATAAATGTTGAATGTAAGTGTCAGAGATAGCTGGAGTGAGTCAGGAAAGACAGAAAAAAATGAATTTGTGGAAAGAGTTTTGGTGGGGGAAAGGGCATATTTTAGCTAGAAGAATACTTTTGGGGGAGGTATGGAGAAGGTTGTACGTAAACGGAAGGAATTAAATATTGCTAAGTGCTTTGTGTGGATTTTTTCTCTGTTGACTCTCACAATTGCTTCTTGTCTTCTCATTTCCCATGAGATAGTTATATTACAGATATTTACATTTTATAGATGAGAAGACTGAAAGTTAGAAAGATTAAGTAACCTGTTCAAGGCCAATGGCTAGTTAGGAGAGTACATAGAGTAGAACCTCAGGAGGGCCTCATGATCTTACATTTCTCACTAGGGTTTATTTAGCAAATTCTCAGGCCTTTGTTTACATGGTAAAATAACAGACCTACTCATTGCTGATTTTAATTGCTGATTTTAGTGTGACTACCCTTACATAAGTAGATTAAAATAAATGTCTAAGGAGAAAGCCTCATGCTCTAAGACCATACTTGTCAAACTTGAATACATATGCATATGAGTTACTTGGGCATCTTGTTAAAATGCAGATTTTTATTAATAGTCTGGGTTGGGGGCCTGAGATTCCTTTCTAGCAAGCACCTTGGGCATAAGAATTTTACTAGTCCCTGGACCACACTTCAGTAATAAGGCCCTAGAAAGCATTGACTGTTAATCCAGTAAGGGTTTTTTCCTCCAAGTAGAATTCTTTGGTGGGATCTTTTCCTGGCCACTCAAACCTCTGTCATTTTCCTTCTTAGGTGGCCCTGGGGTCCAGCTCTGCATCAGTGATGTACTACCTATCCTGGCAAAGATGCTTTATGGCCACAAGGCAGAGCCCCTACACCTGTGCCACCGGCTGGACAAGGAAACTACAGGCGTAATGGTGTTGGCTCGGGAAAAAGAAGTGGCACACCAAGTCCAAGAGTTGTTTAGAACCCGTCAGGTGGCAAAGAAGTACTGGTAGGAAGCCCACTGAGGGCAGTAGAGGTGGCAGAAATGAAGGCATCCCTTTCTTCTATTCATGCATTCATACAGCAGCGACTCCTATTAATAGCAGGCACTGTACTAGGACCTGTGGGCATTTAAAAAGGCGTAGGAAGCAGATTTAGTGCTTAGTACATCAGAGTCTGACAGAGTAGTGGTTCCTAATAATGGCTGTCCATAAAAATCATTGAAATTATTTCTGCAAGTAATACATGATTTCCTTTCTGTGGCAAAATAGTCGGCAAAGATAAAGCAAAAAACTCCTAGAGAATTTACCACTCTGTCATTTTCATTCCTTCCCTTGGGGCAGTTTGGGTTTTATTCCTCTGGTCCTTACTCAGCATATTTTATGTATGTATTTAGTATATACAGTATGTGTGTATGTGTATCTACACAGACACATACGTGTTCACACATATATCACATTGCGCAACGTACATTGTACTATTTCCCCCACTTTGTGTCTTGGGGATCTTTCCATGTTAGTGCATATAGGTTTACCTCAGTTTTTTAACAGAAGAAAAATATAGGAGCAAAAATGAAAACTACCCAATTTCCCTTTCCAGAGGCAATCTCTGTTACTAGGGTCTGAACCTCTGGAGTCACACTGGGCGTGGAGAAGCCTGTCACTGTAGGGCAGCGTATTTTGCACTGCCTCGCATCCTGCCTTTTCCACTTGGACAGTATATCTCGGAGCGCCCTTTGTGGTGTGCGTTTAGACCTGGCTCCTTTTTATGGTGTAGATATGTCATCATTTCCTTATTGATAGATGTTTAGGTAATTTCCCATTTTTCAGAACCTATTGGGAAGAATATGTGAGTATATCTTCAGGACAAATTCCTAGAAATGGAATTGCTGGTTTGAAGGGGACACACTATTCAAAATTCGAGTACTTACTACCCAAATTGCTCCCTAAAATGGGTGGTCAGTTTTCACTCTCACCAGCAGTGGTGAGTGTCCACCTCCCCTCCTGCCTGACCAAAGGGTTTTTAAAAGGTTTGCCACTCAGATGGGTAAGAAAAAAATTTTTTAAAGGTTTTTTATTTTCAATTTCCCGGTTTACTTTTTTAATTGTTTACAGTATTACAAATGTCTTCCATTTCCCCCCTTCTTTGCTGTCCTCCACCCAGCCCCTTCCCCATCCCAGGCCTTCACCACACTATTGTCTTCTGACTGTCTTTCGTGTTCATTGTCTATTTTGAGTTTCCCTTCCTGTAAACAGACTTTAGTTCCTTTGCCCATTTTCTGTTGGCTTGTTTATTATTTTCTATCTGATTTGTAAGTATTCTTTCTGTATTTTCATTGAGATGATGCATGTGAAGTGTTGAACCTAGTACCAAGCTCATAGTAAAAGCTGAAAGATGGAAAACCAAGGCTGTTAGAAGAAATGTGTTCTTGATTGTGGGAGTGGCATGCACAAGGGAGTGAGACACGCAGTCCACTTTGGAGTGGTGGGTGGTGGCAGAAAGAGCTGGAAGGGTGGGCTGGAACCTCATAAATGATGGTCTTAAATACCAGGTGCAGGAAGTAGAAGTTACGAGTAGAACATAGTAGGAACTATTAGCTTTTGCTGATAGCAGCGTGTTATATTATAGACACTTGTTTGATCTTCTTACTAGGCTATGAATTCCTTGAGAGAGGGATTTTTATCTTGTTCACTTACATAGAATTAGTACCTATCTGAGTCAGTACTTATTTATATTCAGTGAATATTTACTGACTGAGCATTTTGAGCAGTAATGTTAGGTCATCAGGAAGGGTGATCTAGTAGTTATAACTCAGTTTATGATAAAATATGTCACATTGCAGCCCAAACTGGTACCAACCTGAAGTGGGCATCCAGGATGTGAAATGTTATATCAGTGGGCTTTTGACCCCTCAGTCAGTGACTCTGTGGTAAGCCACCAGTACCCAGGAGGACTCCTCTGTGATTGACCTGGAAGAGATGTGCATGTGAGGACAGATTAAATAGTCTTCTCCCTGTCTGCCAACAGAAGTGATTCAGAGTGAGTTACTGACTTGTGGTTGTGGTTTCTGTGACTTCTTTGGGCACAGTTCCTTCCTATTTTATCTGCCTCGCAAATAGGGCAGGAATGATCCTGTGACTTTTTCATTCAGTTCATTCATTTATTTCATATGTAATCAGAACTTACCATCTTTTATTATTTAAAAAAGAAAAACAGGATACAAAAGCCATATTTCTCTAATTTTACTTTAAACTATACATACTCATTTTTAAAGGCTGGCATGAAAGACCATGTTATTAATATAATTTTTTCTGTCCCCCCCCCCCGTTATTTTACAATTAACATATATTACTTTAGGAGTAAAAGAGAGATGTTTGTAAGATAGTATCAAGCTCTCAGGCTAAGCACTATACCAAGAGATCATTTGGGACCCTCCTATTTTAAGAACTTACCACAGTAGGTCCACTGTTAAAACCTCTAAGTAGCCAAATCTGAAGAATACCTCACTCACTTTTGTGGCCTAAGCAAGGGTCTGTGTGTCCCCCAGGGCCATCACCGTGCATGTCCCCGTGCCCGCAGCAGGAGTCGTGGATATCCCCATCATCGAGAAGGAGGTGACGGGGCAGCAGCAGCACCACAAGGTAGGTGAGCTGCCTCGCAGACGGACGGGTTTTCTGCTCGTCCTTTGAAATCTTACCTTGATTTCTTTGGCTGCAGATGACGCTGTCCCCGAGCTACCGAATGGACAATGGGAAAGTGGTGAAAGTACGGAGCAGCCGGAACGCTCACGTGGCTGTGACCCAGTACCAGGTGCTGAGCAGCACCGTCTCCTCTGCCCTCTTGGAGCTCCAGCCTGTTACTGGTGAGGCTGCCACCCTTCCACAGCGGGAAGGTGCTACCACAGATAATGTGGAGAGAGAGGAAATTGTGAGGGGGGGAATTGGAGGTGTAGCAGTATTTATAATGTGTACTTCCCATAGCTTATAGTTTGTTATATTGTTTTTGTTACTTTGATGCAGTTGGGGCTCTGCCAGTTTACTGTGCTTTGATGTAATAGGATTAGAAGCAGATGCTGCCAGTGGCACTGTCCCCGTAGCCACTCATAGTCTTCTCTCTCTCTTAAAAGGAGTCAAACACCAGCTTCGAGTTCACCTGTCCTTTGGATTGGATTGCCCCATCCTTGGTGATCACAAGTACTCAGACTGGAATAGGTTGGCCCCCCAGGTAATAAATGCAGCAGACTATGGGGCAGATCTTGCGCTTTCCCTGTGTGAAACCCTGAAGTGAGTCACAGCAGGACGCACTGAGGGTCTCCAGATGCAGCAGCACCAGTTACCCAGCTCAGGGAGAAACTCAGGAGCAGTCAGCTCCTGTGCTCATGCAGCCGCAGGATCTCTGAGCAGAACCCTTCTGCTGCGTTTGATTAGTCTCAGATTTTGTTAGGAGGCTGTGGGAGGGGGAAGGGGGCTATCTGAAGGCTCAAAGCTGCCTTTCGTGCTGCTGCTAAAGAGCCGTCGGGGAAACTTTTGTCGTTTGGTGTTCCAGCCCATTCTCTTGGAGGGCGAGAGAACTGGCCATTTGAGCTTTCCTGCCATGGCGGATTCCTCTTACCTGGGTCCTGAGCCCTTCCTGCATGTGCCTCTGAGGCAGGCTCTAACACGGCCTCCTCCGGGGTGCTCAGATTGGGTCCTTCCAGTGCAAGTCTTCTGACCTGCATGGTGGTCAAGGACCAACTGTTGTTGCCGTTGCTCTCAAAGGCCGTCTTGTCTTTGTGCAGAAGCTGTCTGTCGGCACTCTGAAGAAGCTGGGGCTGCCCCAGTCCAAGGCCCGCCACCTCCCCCTTCACCTGCATGCCCGCCAGCTGGTCCTGCCTGCCCTGGGGTCCAGGAAGGAGGAGCTCAGCTTGGTCTGCAGGCTTCCTCGCTACTTCGTGCGCTCCCTGAGCCGTCTGGGCTTAGAGATGCCAAGTCAAGATCCAAACAAGGAAGACAAAACTGGGCCCCTGGGAATACAGTGAAGACTGGGCAGTGTGGCCCCCGAATCCCTCGCTTTGTTGAATGGACTCCTTGGGACAGACTCCAGAAGAGCCAGGTGTTAGGAGGTGAACCCCAGCTGCTCCAGGGTTTTTACTAGAAACTAAAGTCTCTCTCCTGATACTTGGGCCACACTCCGGAAGAGCCTGCTCTGTGGGAAGTCTCCCTGCCTCGGGGTCATCTCGCCAAGATGGAGAAATGCCCAGGGCCAGGCAGGTTGGGTCAGTAATTAGAAAAGGAGACCTACAGCATAGAACCTGTGAGCAGACACTGTTTTCACCCAACAATAAAGTTCCTGATCTCTCAGGAAGGTTCTTGTGGTTGGAAAGAGCATGATTGTTACTTAGACATTCAGAAGCACTTAGTTACTGCCCTCATGGAGCTGCAGAGTCCTTGAGCAAACCCTTCCTCTTTCTTCATCTCAGGCTTTGTAGACACAATTCAGGGGGCCTGTCCAGCTGCAGCATGGGAACCGTGCTGCACCAGTGGTCGTGGGGCCTGTGAGGGGGGCTTGACAGCAAGGGAAGCAGATGAAATGGCAGGCGGATGACATGAATGAGTGGTATGGGGCAGGAGAGGGGTACACAGCTGTCTGAAGAGGGTATTTAATCACTCCCTCGGGGTGTTGCTATGTGGGAACAGCTATTCAAACGATTTTCAGAGTTAGGAAATCCAGATATTTATGTGAAATCTCCCAGGATGTTGCTAACTAAATCAATTTTTTTAAAATCGGGCAGCCAAGCAAATCATACTGGATTTGGTCTTCAGGCTACCTGTATGCAGTCTGTTTGAAGAACGGCATAGGAGTTTGGGGAAAGGGCCACCTTGAAAGTTCTGGATCAGTGATTGGCATTTTAGTGACATGTCCTAGACCTAGACCAGGGGACAGCTTGGCTTAATCTGAATGTGTGGTCATGGGGGTGCTGCTGTGTTTTAAAGCTGCTTGCTTTGGGACGTGAGCACCTGCTCCTTGGGTCTCAGGAAGGAGATGGCCACGCTGAACAACACTAGGGACAGAAATGACCCTCACCACCCTGCTTATTTTCCTGCCAGCTCCCATCTTGTTTTTGCACCAAATGCACGTACTTTATTTAGGGCTGAGCTGAGGAAAGTTAGAGGGACAGCAATTGAGGAAAATCCCCAAGAGCAGCCTTTCTGTGCTCAGTGGTGTTCAGACAACTGTAAACCCCTCCCCAATTTCCATGATACCTGCTTCAGTGCCCGATGGATTCAACTTCCGAGGCACAGATGAGTAACCACATTTGTGTGTGTGAGGCTTAAATATTTTGGCTGTTTCTATCTCTAGTAAGCCATGCTTCTCAAGAGAAAGGTACAAGCATGTGACACTTAGAAAATATTGACAGCTGGCCTGGCCAGAGTGGCTCAGCAGTTGAGCATAAACCTGGGATCCAGGAGATCACGGTTTGATTCCTGGTGAGGGCACATCACATACCCGGGTTGCGGGCTCGATCCCCAGTCAGGGGTGTGCAGGAGGCAGCCAATCAGTGACCATTCTCATCATTGATATTTCTATCTCTCTCTTCCTCCCTTCCTCTCCCTGAAATCAATAAAGACATATTAAGAAAATAAAAAATACATTGACGGCTGACTGATTTAGGGAAACAAGTGAAGAGGACCCAGATCTTGTGAGTGTTGGGAGAAATCCCAGGCACCCAGGGAGCCACTCCAGAGGGACCAGACAGCTGTCTGCCCCCCCACAGTCTGGATGTAGAGACTCACTGATCCTGCACAGATGTGCTTGAGGTGTTCAGGGCCATGGTGAGGGGTGCAGGGGGTGGGGGTGGGGAAAGAAGACCCTCTTCCTGTCTCTGTTTTTTTGTCTTGCTGGGTATAGCAGCTATCTTTAATCATTGAAAATAATCAGAGGACTTTTACCCCAGGCTGGTGTGGCCTGGGAAGCAGTGGTTATACAGCAAGGAAGGCTGGAACGTGCCTAAAATGAAATGTTTAGAGCCAGTGCAAAGGTTGGATTTACCATAAAGTTATAATTAATACAAGAAAATTGTTTCATTTTTTAATTTATTAGAGTTCTACATGTACATGATTTTAAAAATCAAGAACTAAAGCATAATAATAACTGTTCTTTGCCCATCTGGAGCTTTTCTTTTTAGCTCTCCCCAAATGTCCACTGTGTGCCTCTGGGGGGCACTAATTGGTTTCCCTAGGAGGTCGGAGGGCAGCTCCCCAGCACTTCCCTGAGGTGTGGGTGGGAGCAGCACCCCTGCTAGGCTCCAGGAGGGGTGACCAGCTCCTGGGCCACTGGTGACCAGGTAGGTTTTTCCAGGCTGGGCGTGCCTGACCTAAGCCAGGAGAGCAGTTTTCTCCAGCCTCATGCCACACCTTGTCTTTAAATTTAATAACCAGCCCTGGCCAGGTAGCCATATCCTGGGGGAGCATGTCCTGAACCCCATTACCAGTGAGCTGCAAGCTTAGGGGTTTCCACTACCCCTCGGGCTTGATAATTCACTAGAAAGCCTCCCAGAACTCAGGAAGGTACTTGCAGTTAAGCTGTAGAAAGACACAAGTCAGGACCAGCCAAAAGAAGAGACGGTTGTAGGCAAACAGCCTCCTTGAGGTATTTCTGTTCACTCCCCCTCACCGCCCACTTAACACACTTACCTGTTATGGTCCACGGCGATGATGGCATTTTCATCAGGGTGCTCACACAGGAGGGTGAAGCTCTTCCTGGGGGCTGTGACAGTGGCTTGCACTAGGGGGGTGGGGGTGGAGGAGACAAGTTCCATGTGCAGCTTGGCAGCAGAATGGGGAGACCTGCCTGGTGGAGGGAGCAGTTAGGACGCTTCCCAGGGAGTGTGAGCCCCTAACTGATGAGGTGGGTTGGCAATGGTGGGGAGGCAGGTTTGGGGGTTGCCCTTCCAATCATATCTGTAGACCAAAAAAAGGCCACATATGAAACCTGACAAGCTCAGGGGAGGCCTGGGTGGGCTCTACAAACTCGGAGACCGAAAGTAACCACCTAGGATGCAAAGCAGGTTGTGGCCGGTAGTCTCGGAAGCCTGTAGCTTCCTTGACACAGTCAGTCATGATGGAAGTGAGCCTGTCGTCTTTTTGCATCTGAGGCAACAGACCTTTAGAGTATCAGAGTGATCCCTTTTTTCAGACCTCTCAACATGGGGCCCGCATTGTTACCTTGTTGCCCCCCTGCCATCTGTGTGCTGTACATGTTAACGATCCTGCACCCACCCATGTGAAACAAGTGGGTGTCTCTCTGTTTCACTCTTTATCCGACCCCAGAGATTCCCCCACTTTGCCTTTCCCCGCCTCCCTAATCTACCACCAAGGATTCCCTGTAACCCTCCTTATGTCTCCCCCTTTGATTCTAGTATATAAAATAAGCTGTAAAACTGCCACTCTTTGAGCATTTTCTCAGCCCATTGAGATTTTGCTTCCTGGCAGTTGTCAGTTTGGCTCAAATAAACTCATAAAAATTCTCTATGGTTTGGGCGTTTCTTACGCGGACACATTCGTGCATCCACGGAGGGAGGGCCAGAGTGGGCCTCAACCTGGTGTTCCCAAGCGCCGTGAGTGGGCGCCCACCTTTATAGGTCAGCATTTACGCTAGCACCTTCTGCAATCATATCGGCCTCCTCTTGGGCTGTGTGCATCTGGCGGGCAGGCACCCAGTCCTTTATCACTGTGTCCTTGGCCCCTTGTAAACCCTTGAAACTTGACAACAGAACAGAACAGCAGCGCTCGCTCTGTGGGGAGCTCTCAGGCTCTGGAGTCAGATGGGCTTTGGGTTCAGTGATGGCTCTGCTATTTATTTACTGTAATCATGGGTAATTTATTTACCTTATATGAGCCTCAGTTCACTCACCTGCAAAATAGGACCTATATTAGGTGTTTTAAGGATTACATTACTTAATTCATATTAAGTTCCCAGAAGAGTTCCTGAAATGAGAAGTTTCGATTAATGTAATAGGCTGAAAAGCATGAAAGTAGCCATTTAAAAAATACCTTTTTTTTGAGATAAAATTCACATACCATAAAGTTTGTCAAGTATATAATTCAATGGATTTAGTATAGTCCCAAAATTCAAGTCTTCTGCCCAGTTTAAAAATTGGGTCATTTGTCTGTTATTAAGTAGTAAGATTCCTTTATATATTCTGGATACCAGTCCTTTACCAGATATGTTATTTGCAAATATCTTCTTGTCTTGTAATCACTCTCATGATTACATGATCGGCAACGTGAAAGTTCTAAATTTTGATGTAGTTTCATTTATTTTTCCTTTTGTCGGTCGGGCTTCTGGTGTCTTATCTAAGAAAACATCACATAATCCAAAATCTTGGAGATTTCCTTCTATATTTTTTCCTAATAGTCTAGTTTTAGCTCTACATTTAGGCCTACGACCGGTTTAATTTCTGTGTGTGATGTAAGGAAGGTGCCCAAGTCGGCATGTGGGTCTGGCTGTTCTAGCACCAGCTGCTGAGAAGATTATCCTTTCCCCCATGAAACTGTTTTTGGTGAACTGACCTTTTTTAAGGCCATGCCTGGCTGAATATAGACAATTCCATAGGATACGTTTTCAGTTGTATCGCAGTAGTAACGTAAATGAGACAAAACGAGGTATAACTGTAGTTTCCTGTTTGGCCATGAGATGGCAGCAGCCTCCCAGGTTTTACCCCTTTCCAGGCTCCACTTCCTGAAACTGGGGCCTGTTTCCAATCCCCTATGGGGTACCCTCCACCAGCGTGTCGTGCTGTCTTTCTCTAACCCCCTCCTAACCCTGACTTCGGCTACCCCAGTGCAGGAGATTTCGGTCCCCTACTTTGTAGAAAACCTGGAGTTCTCTGTTCTCCGGTGGAATGAGGTTATAGGGGCCCCCGGTTGTGGTTTGAACCTCCCAAGTGAATTTGAAATAGAATCTGATTCACAAAAGCTGTTATAGACGTAAAAGTTCCTTATAGAACAGCATAACCAAGCTGTTCTCAACTATCAAAAGCCTCATGGAAACATGCATCTACCTACCATGCGGTGGCACAGCTTAGCTAAAATGTCAAGAGTCCTCAGCTCTTAGCTGATTTTATTTTCGCTCAGTCTAGTAAGAAATTGCAATCCCTCTGTTGATCAGAAGCACTGATTGATATTTAGGCTGATTTTGTGTGATAAAAACAGCTCAAAGTAATATTGAATAAATAATGGAGGGGAGATGAGGGTGACAGGTTTGGAAGCCACATTAATGTCTTATAGGTGCCTCAATGTGTGTCTGCTTCTGCCCTTCCCTTCTCCTCCTTCCCCCATGGACGACAAGCTCAGCCAGGGCAGGCTTACCCTTCCTGCCCA